ATTCTCTAAATCTTATTTATAATTTATGTCTAAAGGGAAGAGTGATTATTTTGGGTGCGTAGACTAGCAGTTTACTTTTGCAATATCTTCTGCATTATTGAACAATATCTTGACACTGTTTTAATGGAAATTTAAATCCATTGTTTTCTTTTTTGTACCTCCAGGCATGTATGCATTGACAACTCAACTCAATTTTATTCACTCTTCACTTCAAATCTTATTAATCATCATAGTCAAGATGTGGATGTGCCAGTATTGGACTGGGGTGGACAAAGTCAGAAGTCGCGCAACACCAAGTTATAGTCCAACAGGTTTATTTGAAATCACAAGGTCAGACCTGACGAAAGAGCAGCGCGCAGAAAGCTTGTGATTTTATATAAACCTATTGGATTATAACCTAGTGTTATATGAGTTCTGACATCATAGTCAAGCTCAGTCCTGGCCTCACATAGTGTCAACACACACAATCTTTCCAGCAGAGGGCCCTGGAATAGAAACCAAGATAGACATCCTCTTTTCTAAGCACAGAGGCATGAAAGTGAGTTGGGGTAGGTAGAACTGGCTAATTTAGGGAATATTTGTTCTTATTCAATCATAGGATGTGAGCGTCAATGGCTGGGCCAGCATTTATTTCCATACTGAACATGAAATTGAAAAAAATAGGAAATGCTTTTGATGCTGAGCAGGTCTGGCAACACTCACAGAGGATGAAAGCATTGACATCCCATGTTGATTCATAGTGGGAAAAGTTAGAAATGTAGCAGATTCAAAGTAAGTACAAAGGAAGGGAAAGGCTGGAGGGTGCAAAGAAGATAAAAGGGAAAGGCCTCTGATAGAATTAATGAGAAAGGTACAAACTAAGAGAGAGCATTAACAAGACAAGTAAAGAAATAAAAGATGCACGTTGAAGAGGTATGAACAATAGAACTATGCTGTACAAAAACAAAATAAAGAAAAAAAAGATAAAAATTAAAACTACAAAGAGAAAGGAAACAAAATGGGACAAGAGGATGAATCTATAAGATATAAGACCCTAAGACATAGGAGCAGAAATTAGGCCATTCAGCTCATTGAGTCCGCTCCGCCAATCAAACATGGCGGAAAAGTTTCTCAACCCCATTCTCCTGTTTTCTCCCCGTAACCCTTGATCCCCTTGACAATCAAGAGCCTTTCTAGCATTGTCTTAAATATACTCAATGACCTGGCCTCCACAGCCTTCTGTGGCAATGAATTCCATAGATTCACCACTCTGGCTGAAATCGTTTTTCTCCTCATTTCCGTTCTAAAGGGTCTCCCCTTTACTCTAAGGCTGTGCCCTTGGGTCCTAGTCTCTCCTATCAATGGAAATATCTGCCCAACGTCCACTCTATCCAGGCCATTCAGTATTCTGTAAGTTTCATTTAGATCCTCCCATCTATCCTTCTAAACTCCATCAAGTATAGACCCAGAATCCTCAAACATTATATGTTAAGCCTTTAATTCTTGGGATCATTCTCTTCAACCTCCTGTGGACCTGCTGTGGACCTGCTCTAGGGCCAGTAAATCCTTCCTGAGCTACGGGGCCCAAAATTGCTCACAATACTCTAAATGTGGTCTGACCAGAGCTTTACAAATCCTCGGAAGTACATTCCCTGCTTTTATATTCTACTCCTCTCAAAATAAATGCCACCATTGTATTTGCCTTTCCAACTCATGACTCAACCTAAAAATTTACCTCAAGTGAATCCTGGAATATGACTCCGAGTCCCTTTGCACTTCAGATTTTTGAATTTCCTCCTCCTTTAGAAAATAGTCTACGCCTCTATTCTTCCCACCAAAGTGCATGACCTCACAATTTCCCACGTTGTATGCCATCTGCCACTTCTTAACACACTCTTCTAACCTGTCTAAATCCTTCTGCAGCCTCCCTGCCTCCTCAATACTACCTGCCCCTCCACCTATCTTTGTACCATCTGCAAACTTAGTTACAGTATCCTCAGTTCCTTCATCTAGGTCATTAATGTAATAAGTGAAAGGTTGTGGTCCCAACACTGACCCTTGTAGCTGCCATCCTGAGAAGGACCCTTTTAATCCCAATCTCTGCTTTCTGCCAGAGAGCCAATCTTCTATCCATGCCTCTATCACCATTGGAATTTATCGTCCACCGCAACCTCCTGTGTGGCACCTTGTCAAAAGCCTTGGAAGTCCATTGGCTCTCCTTGGTCTAACCTGCTTGTTACCTCAAAGAATTCTAACAGATTTGTCAGGCATGACCTCCCTTTGATGAAGCCATTCTGACTTTGCCCTATTTTATCATGCACTTCCAAGTATTCAGAAATCTCATCCTTCACAATGGACTCCAAAATCTTACAATGACCGAAGTCAGGCTAATTGGCCTGTAATTTCCCAACTTTTGCCTTACACGCTTCTTGAACAGGTTACATTAGCGATTTTCCAGTCCTCTGGGACGTTCCCTGACTCCAGTGATTCCTGAAAGATCACCACTAATGCCTCCACTATCTCTTCAGCTATTTCCTTCAGAACTCTGGGGTGTAGTCCATCTGTTGCAGTTTATTTATCCATGTTCAGACCTTTCAGTTTTTCTAGCACCTTCTCCTTGGTGATGGCCACCAGACTCACCTCTGCACCCCCCAACCCCAGCTCTTGAATTTTTGGGATGTTACTCATGTCTCCCATAGAGAAGACTGAAGCAAAGTACTTATTCAGTTCCTCAGCAATTTCTGTGTTCCCCATTACTACTTCTCCAGTGTCATTTTCCAGTGATCCAATGTCCACTTTTGCCTCTCTTTTGCCGTTTATATATCTAAAGAAATTCTTGCAATCTTCTTTCATATTACTGGCTAGCTTATTTAATCTTCTCCCTCCTTATTTCTTTTATCGTTATCTTTTGTTGGTCTTTGTAGGCTTCTCAATCTTCTGGCTTCCCACTGCCCTTCACTGCATTATATACTTTCTCTTTTGCTTTTATGAAACTCAATTTGTCAGAGTTTGCACCATACTATCAATTTTAGAGATTTTGTGTTGTTATTTAATGCGAAGAGCTATTTTTAAATTATTCAATAAAATAAAACCTGGAATGGTAGAAATCTTAAATAAAGCTGGAACTTGCTGACAATGCATAATGGCACAGCAGGGAATAAGGAACAGTCAAAAGCCTAAAGTTGGAAGAGCAAAGGATACTAGCAGAGACATTTATAGAAGATGCTGAGGTTAACATGGTGAGGGAAGGAGAACTAACAAAGGTTGGTAAGGAAAGGCGTGACATTCCAGGTAGCAGGTAACCCTAACTCTATGTAATCTAGAGTTAGGAATGCCACTGAGGAAACTTTGGAAAACAAGATTGGAGAAGTCCCTTTTATATAAGCAATGAGGTTAGCTCAATAGAGAGGGGACAGCAGAATAGTAGCTGGAGATCAGGCAAGTCAAAGTGGACAAAAGAGTGCTGTTGTAAGTAAACAAAAGAATAAAGATACCTAATGGGAGATCTAAGTCAAATGTAGGAAGCCAGTCAAACTCTAATGTAGCTGTGTTAACAATTTTTTTTCTTTATTCTTTCATGGGATCAGGGCATTGCTGGCCAGGCAGCATTTATTGCCCATCGTTAATTGCCCAGAGGGCAGTTAAGAGTCAACCACATTGCTGTGGGTCTAGAGTCATAGGTAGGCCAGACCAGGTAAGGATGGCAGTTTCCTTCCCTAAAGGACATTAGTGAACCACATGGGTTTTTCCTGACAATTGACACTGAATTCATGATCATCATTAGACTCTTAATTCAAGATATTTATTGAATTCAAATTCCACCACCTACCGTGGTGGGATTCAAACCCAGGTCCCCAGAACATTATCTGGGTCTCTGGGTTAACAGACCAGTGACAATACCACTAGGTCATTGCCTCCCCACAAAGAACATTGGGATTAGGTATCTTCCTTAGCCTTTGTGCACTAGTTCTGATGAAGGCTGTATTTCAGACCTTAACCTATGGCTGCCTTTTGTAAGAACAAAGGAACATATAAGAACATAAGAAATAGGAGCAGGAGTAGGCCAACTGGACTTTTGAGACTGCTCTGCTATTCTAAGATCGTGACTGATCTCTTTCGTAGACTCAGCTCCACTTACCCGCCCACTCATCATAACCCTTAACTCCTGTACAGTTCAAAAATTGATCTATTTTTGCCTTAAAAAGATTCAACAAGGTAGCTTCAATTGCTTCACTGGGCAGGGAATTCCACAGAGTCACAACCCTTTGGGTGAAGAAGTTCGTCTTCAACTCAGTCCTAAATCTGCTCCTCCTTACTTTGAGGCCATGCTCCACAGTTCTTGTTTCACCTGCCTGTGGAAACAACTTCCCTGCTTCTATCTTATCTATTCCCTTCACAATTTTATATGTTTCTATAAGATCCCGCCTTATTCTTCTACATTCCAATGACTGTAGTTCTGGTCCACTCAATCTCTCCTCATAGGCCGATCCTCTCAACTCTGTGATCAACCTCGTGTACTCCTCTGCACCACTTCCAGTGCCAGTAAATTCTTTCTTAAGTAAGGAGACCAAAGCTGTACCCAGTACACCTGGTGTGGCCTCACCAGCACCCTATACAGCTGCACCCTGTTTTTTAACTCCATCTCTCTAGCAATGAAGGACGATTCCATTTGCCTCCTTAATTACCTGCTGCACCTGCAAACCAACTATTTGTGATTCTTGATCAAAGACACCCACGTCCCTCTGCACAGCAGCATGCTGCAATTTTTCACCATTAAGTTATAGTCTATTTTGCTGTTATTCCTACCAAAATGGATGGCCTCACATTTACCAACATTGTATTCCATTTGCCAGGCCTTTGCCTACTCACTTAATCTAATTATATCCCTCTGCAGACTTTCAGTGTCTTCTGCACAGTTCAAACTCTGATTGGCTTTTGTAAATGTTCAGCAATTTTTTATTTCCCTTTGTGTATTGAGATGAGTTGCTTTGACAATCTACTTTGCTATATACCAAGCATTTAGTGACCTGGCAAGGAACCATGAATATACACACTTTTCTCTGCCTAATTTTAAAAGCTTTGTTTTAAGACATAGTCCTGTGAGAAATATTTAAAATAATAGTTCTATAAACATTTTTGTTTTACAGAGTGAGTTTGGGGACTTACAGAGAAGGTTTCAAAAGCAAAATCAGGCTTCTGGGCATCAGGATTTCCCTGTGTTCCCACGACCTGGTATGTCCCTTTGGTTACTGGAAGACTTTTGACTGAATCAGTCTCTTCCTCAATCTGTTCTTCATCTTCTACTGGTGCCTCCAGTGATGCTCCAACCATACAGTTAGATAGGTACTAGAAATGAATCAGATATCAGAATTTAATTTTTGAATTTGTAGAATCATATAATAGCGCAGCACAGATTATCCAGCTGAAGTCTGCAGCAGTTCATTTGAAGAGCCAGTCCAATTCCTCTGCTCTTTCTCCTCTCCTGCAATTTCTCCTCCATACATTTATTGAATTCCCTTTTGAAAGTTACTATTGAATCTGTATCTGCCACACTTTCAGGCATTAAATAAAGATTTTCCTTATGATAGATCTGGTTCTAATGGCAATCACTTTAAATCTGTGTCCCCTTCATTTCAATCCTTCAACTGTCAGAAGTAGTTCACTTTATTTACTCAATCTAATTCATTCATCTAAGTACCTCTATCAAATCTTCTCTTTGCTTTCTCTGCTCTAAGGAGAACAATCCCAACTTCTGATCATAGAATTCCTACAGTGTGGAAGCAGATCATTCAGCCCATCAAGTCACACCTATCCTCTGAAGAGCATCCCACCCAGACCCACCCCCCACCTTATCCCTGTAACCCTGCATTTCCCATGGCTAATCTACCTAGCCTGCACATTCATAGACACTATAGGCAATTTAGCTTGGCCAATCCACTAACTTACACATCCTTTGACTGTGGGAGGAAACCAGAGTGCCCGGTGGAAACCCATGCAGACATGGGAAGAAACTTCTCTAGTCTATCTGTAACACTGAAATATTTCATACCTGAACCCATTCTAGGAAATCTTTTCTGTAGCTTCTGGAAAGCCTACAAATCCTTCTTAAAGTGTGGTGCCCAGGACTGGACACAATGCTACAACTGGGGCCGAGAAAGTATTTTATATGGTTTACCATAGGAAGAGTTACAAATTGTAACTGCTGATGGAATCTAAATAAGATTTAAAAGCAATGAAGTGCTTTTGTACAGTCCTCCAACGGCATTGTTAACTTTCAGCACTGGCAATCATAGCAAAGGTCAATTTGGTAGATGTTTCATTATGGAAGTGTATAAAAGAGGAACTTTCATACTCTGAAACCTGTAAAGGAGCATTTAGCTGCTGCCAGAGTGTAGTAAAACTAGTAGTATCGGATTGACTACACCCCATCCAATTTTCAGCTACTCTCATACTGCCATCTTTACGCTCTCTTCAAAACATCTGTTCCTTGTTTTCCTGGACACAGAAACTATCTTGCCAAACTATCAATTAGTTACTTTTATGATATGATCAAGTTAAAATAAAATCAGCTTCAACTATCTAAAGACTGTTTATTAAACATTTTTTAAAGTGTTTTTGCTTTGCTCATGCTTAAAGATACAACACAGGAACAGCTGTGAAAAATGTTTGAGGGATACAACAGTAAATGAAGATGAAGTTCACAAATCAAAAGCTAGGTACAGATAAGGAGCACCATTCATTACATCTTATTTCATCCATCAGGAAAGACAATACATGTTTCCCAGGTACAATCCAAATGTTTCTCAAACTGATTCCAATAGTGTTACCACCACTGCCCTAGTTTCTGTATTAGTTTAATGTAAAACTTTCCAAACATCAGCCCTAAATTTGTCTTAGAACTTAGGAACACCACAGCAGGAATAGTCATCTGGCCCTTTGAGCCTGCTCCAATTGTACTACTCTTGTAGTTTCACACTAAATTATTATTTTGATCCACCATTTCTATATTTTACACATTACAAAGTTGCTCCTCTTACACAGTGAAGCTCTCTCATTTTCTCATGTATTTTGGCACCCAGTAATCCTAAATATATTAAATGAAAATAGGAGCAGCAGTAGGATCTTTGGTCCTTCAAACCTGCTCCACTATTCAATACAATCATAGCTGATTAGATAATGACTTTACATCCCCTTTTATTTGCTCCCATTACCCTTGATTCCCTTGTAGTTCAAAAATATGTCTATTTCAGCCATGAACCTATTCAATGCTACAGCCTCCACTGTTCTCGAGGGTACAGAATGCCACAGATTAACAATCTTCTGCGAGAAAATCCTTCTCATCTCAGTCTTAAATGGTAGAACCCTTATTTATTAACTATGGTCCTAATTTTAGAATCACACACAGGGAAATATCTACCTGTTCCCTTGTCAATTGCCTTGAATTTGTGCCCTTTGATTATCAACACTCCTGCCACTTCAAACACTTTTCTTTATTTACTCCAAATTTTCATGATTTTGAATGCATTATTCATTCTTGCAAACAAGTCTGCTTTTGAGAAAATGGCTCCAGTTTTGCCAAGTATCTGAAACCCCATGCCCCTGGTAGAGGGGTAAATCTAGTAAATCTCCTCTGCCTCCTCTCTCAGACCTTGATGTAAATTCTAATGGTGATACCCACTGTTTTAAACAAAACAGAAATTGCTGATTTCTCCAATAATTTGTTTTATTTCAGATTTCCAGCATGTGCTGTTCTTTGTTTTTTGCCCACTGTATTTTAACTGAGTGTATCAAGATGCAGAGGCAGGTTTGGGCCCAGTACATGAGCCGGTGGCATCAGCATGGTGGGCCTAGAGTGGACTCTTGCTGGCGGTGGCGGAGTCGAGTTTGGGCCAGTGCGGGACCCAGCAGCATTGGTGACGACTGCATTGGCAAGGTCCAGCGAGGACGAGTGTTGGTGGCGGCATCGATGGAGCTGAAGAATGGTGACTCTTGTACTGGCGGCGTGACGAGGGGACTTGATGCTGGCCGCTCCAGGCCCATGGCTGAACAGTTAACATGAAGGACTGTAAAGTTGAACTTTATTCTTTATTTTTCTGCCCTTATATTCTGTGTTTTACAATAGCACTGAACAGTGATGGCCTATGACAATTTTCACTATATTTTGTGACCAAAAAAGTGACAATAAATAAATCAAATAATTCAAATCAATTTATAGACATTACCACTGCAATTCTCAGTAATATTGAGGAGTTTCACCGTACTTGGGAATACTCTCAAGCTTTATCAGCAAGTCCAACAATCAGAAAAACAGATGGAGGACATGAGTTATAGATCCAGTAAGAAAATGAAACCTCAGAAAGAAAGTGACGGCAAAACAAGTCCATATATATGATGAAAACAGCAGATAGCCTCTTGACTCTGAACTCTTTGTGTGACAGCTACTAGCTTGGAACTCAATACTGGGGGTAACCAAACCTTTGCCTGGCAAATACAATGCATTCAGAGTGTCGTGTGTTCACATGTCACTGGCTGGGAATACCTCGAATCGGAGTTGGCGGCTATAATTCTGTCGAAGGTGTGGATGTTGTTAGATGCTATATTACAAAACCTTCCAGAATTTATCCAACTAGAGTTGCGTACACGGGTGAGCACAGTGTCATTTACATGTGCATTCACAAATACCTGCACACTTAGAAATAAACTTGCCTACACGAGCACCTTGGCTTACACACCGACACACTTAACAACACACACTTACAATGAACACTTATCTACTTAATTCATACAACACTGATGTATCCTGAACACACACACATGCACACACTAAACTCCAAAAGGTATGCTTATGCCCCTCACAATACAATCATACGCTCCAACCACATTTACCCCCGCAACACATAACACCCTCCTACCCGCACCCCTCACTCAGTGTCCCTTCCACGCACACTTACCTGCCTCCACATAAACATTTATTCGTCATCTCCACACATACAGACACCCCTAACACACATGCTTACCTCGAAAAATACTTACCCCTCACACACAAACTTATCTTTCATAAATACACGGTTACTTACTCCCTGCCAAACCCTCATATTGAGTCTTTGTCCACACATACACTTCTGTACATTATACATACAATATACACTCCATGCCTCTAATTTTTATTCGTATTTAACCTATTTTTCTAATCAACTTGTTCAGAGATGTTATTGCACACCTCCAGAGCAACTGGTACTTGAACCCAGGCCTCTGTTCTGTGTTCAGGGTAGGGACACCAATACTGCACCACAATGGGTCCTCTACACACTTATTCATCATCCCCAACTCAGATGCTTACCCCCTAAAAAAGGAATAACCCTACACATACCCCTCACACTTAATCTCCAAAAACTCTCACCCCTCCCCTCAACCTCCACCACCCCAGAACACTCAGTAAATGCCCTTCAGTAACTAGTTTTTCGGATCTCACTAACTTTGCCTGTATGCTTCCCGATGAACGAGTCCAAGTGGTTGAGGAAGATCCGTTTGCTATGGACTTTCCCAGATGAAACGCCAGTTTCTTCCTCCGCCATGGCGGCCCGCTGCCCTTGGAGACGCAGCCAGAAGAACGCGTTGCTAGGGAGAGTCCTGGGCGGGGCCAGCGGAAGGCAGTGGGCGGGGCAGCTCCAGCTGCACAGTGGAGGGAGTAGAGACTCCCAATGCTTGCTCCCACTATGATGCTGAGATGATGCTGGACCTTCAACCCCTAAACCAAGGAAACGAGGACATGCAGCCAGCCAGCCAGTGTGGGCAACGAGTTGTGGAATTGGTAATCAATGCTGTGCAGCCAAAAGTGTCAATCCCGAACAATGTTAGTGGGAAGCACGCTCAGTACTGCAAAACGAAGAAACAACTAAAACTGCATTTAGGTAACACCTTTCACGACCCTCGGACGCCCCCAAAGCTATTTGTAACTCGTGAAGTACTTTATTCAAGTGCTGTGAGTGGAAGAAGAATGAAATAGGATGAAAACCATAGATATTTTGCCCATTTTCTGCAACAGTCCAAAACTAATCACGCCACATCTTGCTTTGGTTCAACTTCCAGGACCTAAATTGGACATCAAGGCCCAAGCTTGCTCCAAATAAAGAATCAGTTTCGACTTTGCACCATTTTTGAGTGGGATTCCCAACACTCCTAGACTGCCCAGGAGTCTCCTGCAGTCGATAATTGATCTCCAAAGCTCTGTAGTAAGAGGCTGGGGAGAACTGTGGTAATAGGGCTTGCAACATTGCCGATCTGAAAATCATACACTGCACATCAAAATTCCATTGTGTTGAGAAACAAAGTTTATTGGACTTTGAGTTAATAATCCTTGCCCTTACATCCCAGAGAGTATTGGAAGAATCTCCCCACACCGATGGGAAGGAAGGAAAACAAACTTCCTCACTCTTCCCTCATCCACTTTTTCGACTCTTAAGATCCAAGATAGGCCAAAAATAGTGCCTAGTCCAGGAAGAAAATAATAAACCATGTGAACAAATAAATGAAGTGCAACATAGAAAGCTACTAAAGTTTTATATTTTATTACAAAAAGTATTCTTAATGAGTGACTTGTTTTTCAATTTCTGTACAACAAATATGCTTCTCATTTTGGAGTAATAGTCAGGAATTGTGCTTCTTTGTATTTTTAAAGTGTAATTATGGGAGGAGTAATCTGTAAAGCCAACTAACATCTACTGGCTTAAAAATAAATTCCAAGACTTCTGTAGTAGAGCTTCCCTCTTCTCAGTATTCTGAACATTTTAGCTGGGTGAATCTGGACTTTGTTCATGTCATTCACCAGTCATATCTCATCCAGCAATCTCCCACTCCACTCTGTCCCTCCTTCTTAAAAGTTACAGTCTTGCAATTGATCAACTTGATACATATGAAATTTACAAATGTATGGCTCAGACACTTAATTTATAAGCTCCTATATAATTATTCATTTTAAGCATGAGGGAGAAGAGCTTCTGCGATTCTCAGAAGATGGTTGTTGATCATTCTTCTTTGTTGCCGAATGCCAGGATCACCAACCCTCCAACCTCCAGCTCCCTTAATAATCAGACATAAAGAAGAATTCCTGCAGGAAGTCTTGGTTCATCAATTTTTCCATCTGATTTGCTGCAAAACACAACATTCAAAACTACAATTACCAATCTGGTGAGTATATTTATTTTACATTTGCTTGTTTTTATACTAGGTAGATCTCACTTCTGGCAATTGAAAAAAATGCTTTAACAGGACGGTGATGGACTCTATTTGTGTAACAATGGGCTGTTGCTTTAAAGAAATGTCTGAGTTGTGGACTGATATCATCAGTCCTGGTCAGATGATTGAAGCCAGATGTCATAAATGCTTAACACATTCCATTCTGGGAAGTTAAGTTTTGAAGCATCATTTTTGCTTTCGATTGCTTATGGCTCAGGTTCTGTTCTGCACATTTGAGAGAGGTTTCTCAATCTTTTCTTGTAGTTGTGGTCTTTAATAAGGTACTGTAATCTGACTTGAGCAGGTTCTGCAAAGTCTTTTATTTACAATGTTGTGCATAATACTGTTTTGTGTAAGTACATCTCGTAGAAGTACAGATTATTCTATCCTTTTTTCACAGGTTCTCACACATGACTGCTGATTTTGCTGTTACATCATGTTTACATCACCATCTCATCAGAAATTAATGACTGATTCCGCTATTCAAGAAAGGAAGGAGATAGAAAGCAGGAAAATAAGGTCAGTTAGCTTAATAGTTGTTATAAGGAAAATTTGGGAATTGATTAAGGACATCATAGTAGGCTATTTAGAAAATTTCAGTGTAATCAGGGAGGTTTATGAAAGGGGAATCGACTTTGTTTGATTAGTTTACATCTTTTGAGGAGGTAACAAATAACATGGCAAAGAGGAACCTTTCCCAGAAGATACATGACAAGGTTACCAAAGCTTGCTATGCAGAACAAGAACTAACAGCATTGCATGTAATATATTAAGATGGAAAGAGGATTGGCCAGTTAACAGGAAACAGAATAGATATAAGTAGATAACTTCTGAGTTGGCAAGATTGGAGTGCCACAGGGATCAGTGCTGGGACCTCAGCTACTTACAATTTATATCAATGACTTGGATTAAGGGAACAAATAGATGACTGCTAAATTTGATGATATAAAGGTAGGTATGAAAGTAAGTTATGAAGAAGACATAACGGTCTGTAAAGCAAAAAGGGATATAGATCAGTTAAGTTAGTGGGTGGAAAGGTGGCAAATGGGAGTACAATATAGTGAAGAGAAAAAGTGAACTCATCACTTTGGCAGAAAGAACAGAAAAGCAACTTGGTATTTAAATGTAAAGGAAGCACAGAACTGGAGATAGAAAGGATCTGGATGTCTTGGTACATGGACCACAAAAGGTTGGTGTGGAGGTACAGCAAGTTATTCAGAAAACAAATAGAATGTTGTTATTTATTGCAAGGGGAATGCTACTGTTGTAAAGTTTTGCTGCAGTTGTATAGACTATCGCAAGGCTACATCTGGAGTATTGTGTAGAGTTTGGTCTCCTTATTCAAGAAAGGATGTAAATATGTTAGAAGCAGTTCAGAGAAGATTCAGTGATTGATACCTGGGATTGGGGGAGCAGGGCTGCCTCATGAGTGGAAAGTTGGACCAGTAGGATCTATAGTCATTGGGAGTTTAGAAGAATTAGGGGTAATCTTATTGAAATACATAAGATTCTCAGCGGACTTAACAGATTGATGTTGAAAGGAAGATTTCCCTGGTGGGAGAGACTAGAACTAGGGGATACAGATTAAAAATCAGGGGTCATCCAGTTAAGACAGAAATGAGGAGAAATCTTTTCTCTCCAAGTGTTGAGGGGTTTTGGAATTCTCTTCCCAAGAAAGCGGTGGAGATAGGATCAATGAATATTTTTAAGGCAGCGGTCTTGATCAACAAGGCAATCAAAGAGTACCAGGGACCAATAGGGAAGTCAAGTTATGGGGACAATAAGATCATCCATAATCTTACATACTCCTGTTCCTAATTCATATGTTCATATAGCCATTCTCATTATAATGCAGTTTTAGCTTACAGAATTGCTCAGGATATAGTCTATCTTCCGCTGTTCTTGTGAGTTTTTTTCCACTTTGTCTCTATACAGAACCAGCTGTTGTCGATCTTTGAGATCCCTGTAGGTCTAAATTCAAGTTAAGAAAAGGAATGTAAAAGAACTTTTACAAACCACTACATCATTTACTTTCTATGATCCCAAGTGATATATAAAGCTTCAATTTAAACACTTTGACTGATTGCCACTGAATTTCCATCTCTCATTGTTTTAGCGAGACTGATTTAGCAATATCTATTGATACCCACCAGACACATGTGCAGTAAGCACTACTTCAATTCGCACATGCACATTTAAAGGGGGTTGACTTTACTACGGCATGAAGTAGTGTTTCTGGAATTGTGTGCATGTGCATTTCTGGATTGGAGCACAGGCACAGTCGCAAGCAACACAAGGTGTCAGCAGACACAAGTGACTGATTTTGCCCTCCTTTTACGAGTTGGAATCCCCAAAATAATCATGACCTCCCAGCTGAAGCAACCTCAGGGATTTGGCAACAAATCGTCCACAGGATGGAGCTGAGAATAGTTTTGCATTCTCAGATTGCAATTTACTCAGATCGGAACTCACACCCTCAAGCTGAGTGTCTCTGTCACACATGAACAAAATGCTTGGGAGCAGTAAGTCTGCTAAAGTGAAATGCTGCAAGGGGACATCCAGAAGTTGAATTAATTCATACAATTTTTGACATTAAATTGCTCTTGTGGACTTCTTAGAGTAGAGCAACGTTTTGCCATTTGCGGAGTTACCTTCTTCAAAAATATCATGAGTGGGGATTTTTGCCAATAGTGAACATAGTAGACTGGGAATACATAGTAACAGACACATGTACTTGCACACTTTCTACTCAAGGAAATAAATTTTCTTTTAATATCTTTTTGAAACCCAGATAAGCGAAGATTAGACTCATTGTACACTGTTTCACCAACTGCAAGATTTACACAAATAAAAGAATTCACAAAAGGTGGACATGAGAGTGGCAGGACTTGTCTGTACTCACTATATAAAATAGTCAACAAAGAACACCCTGCATTAACTGCATTACTTTTTGTGTTTTTGTCATTTAGTTCCTCTCTATGGTAGCAAAAATAAATCCACACATACTTACGTCAATCACAATATTATGGCACTTGTACTTTGAGGCAAGGTTCAACCTCAGTTCTGTGCTATCCACTAAAGCAACATATTCCTGAATAACCTGTAGAAAAAAATGATACAATTGACAAAGGAGTTGGAGGTGACTTGAGGAAGACTTTTCTTTAAACATAGCAAACTGTTATGATGTGGATGTCTGCAAGCAGATTCAATATTAATTCACAGAAAGGAATTGGATAAATACTCAGATGGGAAACAGTTGAAAGGAAAGAGCAGGTAAGTGGCACCAGTCAGGCAGTTCCACAGAAAAATCCGAAACAGGCATGATGGGTCAAATGTGAAAACATTCGATGAAAC